GTTTTAGGTTTTTTTCACTATAAGATGCTTCACTGGACCTTCTAGAACAAATTACACTCTAAATTAACACAAACTCCTAGATTAGTGTTAAAAAATGTGCGCTTTGAATGAAGAGACTTAAGGGGAGCTATTGAGGGAGGTATGGTTCGGGGAGGAGGGGGGCAATGAAGCGTAGCCCAGGAACGGTGAAGGAGGCAGACAATTTTGCTGGGATATCTTGGCCTTACAGGGGAACTGGACAGGTGGGGATGATTAGGAAAGAATGTGAAAAGGGGTGCTGGCCTGATTGACACCAGGTTTGGGGAGTTTTGAGAGGCCTGGAGGCCTTGCCGCCAATTCCCACAACAGTTATGGAGGCCAAGGAGACAGGTCCTTGAAAAGAAGGCAGAGTGGAGTGGGTGGCCTCCGTGTTGATTAAGAAGGGGATGGACTTACCCTCCACGTAAGAGTTACCCGAAGTTTGGTGTCCATGATGGTCCAGGGGGCTTCCGAGATTGCTCAGGCAGTGTTAGTCTTTACCCGCCAAGCCGAGGATGAGAGGTTCAGGAGCTCTGGGAGTCAGACAGTTGACTTTCTGTGAGAGCCCCTGCACAGACAGGGCAGGGCTTAAGAGAAGTCCTGGGCTGAGGGCATTCCTTGGTCCTGTGGCCTCCAGGAGGGGTGGCTGGACGCGCTGCAGTCTGGGCGCTTTGAAGTCTTTGTGAGCCGGTGGTGTGGCTGGGGTTTGTCTTACAGAAGAGGCAAGCATTTGTAGCTCTGAGATGTGCTGTCGCCGGGCAGATTTTTCCCCATTATTGAATCCCTTGAAGGTGAGGTTGCTTAATTCCTGTTGTGGGGTTTGAGGGCCAGATTTTAATTTCTGTACCTTTTTGTAATGTCGGGCTGATTGAGTGACAAAATGCATATTAAGCGTTTTTTAGGGGTGAGAGTAGAAGTAAGGGTGACATTTAAGTCACTCCAGGTAAGATTATAGGACTGGGTTAAGTATTGGAGGCTTTGATGAAAAGGAGCCTAACCGGTGGCCAATCTGGAAAGGTTGGATAAAGGAAAAGGAATGTGCCCCCTAGCTATGTCTTTGGCTGCAGCCACCTCTGCAAGGGGGAATCATTGGGGAGGAGCATAGGAGGTAGCCGAGGCACTAAACTGTAAGTTGGCAGCAGAGATTAGGGAGGGATTGGTGTGTAAAAAAAGGCTGGACGTAGGGAATTTCAGTGCCATTTTTTGGCCAGTTGGAACTGTTGTTTAACTTGTATTGTAGCCATGCAGTGTTACAGAAGAAGATGAGACGTTTGGGTTTTAGGTCAGGAGACAGTTGAAGAGGCTTGAGGTGTTTTAGAACACAGGCCAGTGGAGAGGAGGGAGGGATAGAGGACGGACGATTGCCCACGGTTCTGCAAAGGCAGCAGAGACAAGGAAAATGGGCACACAACCCAGCTGCTCAAAAGGCGTCCCTAGTTGAGCCTGGGTTGAGCCTCATTGTTGGTGGGTGGTCAAAGAGCATCCTCTCTGTTGACCTGCCACCAATATCGGCCATGAGGCTGGTGGGCGAGTGACTAGGGTGAAGGTCTCCACGATAGTCAAACCCCTGGGGAAACTGGGTCCTCGGATCTGTGACCTACGCAGGATTTTCCGGTCATGAACCTCACAGAAGGACCTGGTTTACCTGATTTTCCTTGTCTTTGTGGTGGAAAAAGGACAAAACAGAAAGGGGGAGGAAGTGGAAAAGACAAAAGGATGGGAAAGCAAAAAAGAGACTGCTTACCAAAACAGCCAGTGGTGTGCGTCTGTAGGCCGGTCTGATGACCCTAGGTCGGTAGGTAGATCTCTTCATAGAGGGAGCACAAGAACAGGAACAGGGGTTTGGTCTCCTGTAGAAGTTCCCCTGTCCTGGGTTTCAGCACCAAATGTTGAAAAAAAAGTACGCTTTGAATGAAGAGGCCTTCCAAACAGGCTCTGTGTGAGCAACAAGGCTGCTTACTCACCTGGGCACAGGTGGGCTAAGGCTGAAAAGGGCATTGGCAAAGGGCAGTGGGATAGGAGTTGGTTTTATAGGTTTAGGTAGTTTTTTGGGGGACGGGGGTGTTGCAGAGTAAGTTCAGTTATAGTGGTGGGGGGTAGGAGCAAGGAGTATACAAGTTCAGTTACAACGGCAGGTTGGGTAAGAGGAATTTACATTATCATAAGAACAGTTAACGTGGCAGGGTTGGGTGAGGGGCTTGTGGGAAGCTTCGGTGGGCGATCAGGACAATGGCAAACACAGGCAGGGGGTGCGACACTTCAGCTGGAGACAAGCAGGACTTCAGACTTTCAGGCTCCAGGCTTGCATATAGAGACCTGACAATTAGTAAGGATTTATTTATTTGCATCAGGTACAATTATATTTCTTACAACATGCTATCAATTGGTGACCTTATCATATGAAGATTTCTTCTTGAATGTCTCCATCTTTAAAGCAGTGATTTTCAACTACTCGAATCTTTTCCTCAGAAAAACATTGCTCTCTGCTTCACTGAATTAAACAGGGAATTAACTGCCTCTTACTGGTTTAGAAAAGACCTCATTAGCCAAATAAAAAGCATGGGATTTGCTGGATCCTGTTAAACCAAATGTAAAAGACTTAATGAGACAATAGGAAAATCTGAATTGTGTAGTTATTAAACAATAGTAAGAAAATTTGGGAGGTAGAATAGTATTATGGATATTTTAAAAAACTGTTACCTTGGCTGAGTGCGGTAGCTCGCGCCTGTAATCCCTGTAGTTTCGGGGGCCGAGGCAGGCTGATTACTGGAGGTCAAGAGTTTGACATTGGCGTGACCAACATGGTGAAACCCCGTCACTATTAAAAATACAAAAATTAGCTGGGCGTTGTTGCACACATGTGTAATCCCAGCTACTTGGGAAGCTGAGGCAGGAGAATCACTTGAACCTGGGAGGTGGAGGTAACAGTGAGCCGAGATCACAGCGCCATTGCACTCCAGCCTGGGCGACAAAAGCAAAACTGTCTCAAAAACAACAGCAGCAACAAAAAACTGTTACTTTTCCCTGTTCATATTTAAAGTATTTACAGATAAAATGATAAAAGTCCAGCAAGGGTGAGGGAGCGTGAAGGGAGATATATTAATCTTAGCCCTATGTTGCTAACTGTTGAAGCTGGGTAAATGGTATACGAGGATTTATTGTGCTATTATTTTTACTTTTGCCTTTGTCTGAAAATTTCCATATTAAAGTTTAAAAATATTAAAAAGTAGAAAAAAGAAAAGGATTTCAAATATATTTGGTCTGACTCCACAGAAGCTGAATTTTCTCAGCAGCCATCTTTGTGACTCTCTCACACCAACTTTCCAGTTTGTTTTCCAGCAGTTTGAAGTTGCTGCTCTTCCCAAGACACAGGTATGGAGGCATACACGTTTCCTGCCAGGGACCTCTTCAAGTCGCCGACTTAGAAATTCAAGGTAATTTCAGACTAATTTGGGGAGGTCAGTTACTCATCTTTTTCTTAGGGCTGCTTTATGGTAGATAATACACTGTAGAGCAAATAAAATTGCTTTTTGCTTTACCCACAGGATTAAATATCACAAATTAACTTCAGTTGCTAAGAATGGGAGATTTTTAATTTTGCATTTAGAAGACGAGAAATTCAATCTGAAGAGGCCCCATATTTCCAGTTAAGTGACCACTCAGAAGGGAAGGACAGCGCTAAATAACCAAGGTCAAGAGTTGGGTTTAGGGATTGTGGTGATTTTTTTTTTTCCACTGAAGTGCTCTCCCGACACAGGCTGCTTTCACAGGGTGGCAAGAATAAGCCTTAGATTAACCTTTTAAAATAAACCTAGCAAGAAAAGCATGTCTGAAATAATTCATACATATACATGTTATGTTACAATGTTTTATAGTTTTAGATCAGTATCAGCTAAAATATTCTTTGGATATTTTTGCTTTTTTCCAGCCTGTTCAACGGAATTATAAAAGGTGAAAATAATGCTATAAAATGCCTCCTATCCCATGCTCATCCCTCCTCTCATCTTGCCCTGTTTCTAGAGGAAGTGCTCTAGGTATTCCGCATCTTTGTCTTTTTTCCCTTCTAGTTTCTTGCTTTCTTTTTTTGAGATGTAGTCTCCCACTGTTGCCCAGGCTGGAGTGCAATGGCATGATCTCACTCACTGCAACCTCCACCTCCCGGGTTCAAGCGATTCTCCTGCCTCAGCCTCCCAAGTAGCTGGGATTACAGGTACCCGCCACCACACCCAGCTAATTTTTGTATTTTTAGTAGAGACGGGGTTTCACCATTTTAGCCAGGCTGGTCTCAAACTCCTGACCTTGTGATACGCCCGCCTCGGGCCTCTCAAATCGCCCTGGGATTACGGGTGTGAGCCACTACGCCTGGCCCTCCCTTCTAGTTTCTAAACACATAGCTACCTGCAGATCGCTTATCAGGCTGAATAAAATCCATAGGTGCATTCGGTGTTTGACCTGTAACAAGGCACCATGCATTATTTTGGGCCTTTGATAAACACCAGCTTATTCAAATTTGTGAGAAAACAAAAATAGTAGGGTTCAAGTAAAAACCAGTACAATTCAGTTCTTCACAGAGGCCGTTTTTTGATGAGACCCGGCCGAAAGGTTTAAAGAACTATAAAATCCCTAAACGTTCTCAGAAATACAATACATTGTAATGCCTGGGTTGACTTAATACTGGCCCAAACCTCAGTGTCCCAGGATAATAACCCAAGACAACTTCCCAGTCCTTTGCCATAGTTGACGTCCCAAGACGTCAAATTGCCTGGAGTGCTTTATTTCTGTTTGAAATACAAAATTTCTTCTCGATAAAGAGCTAGATTTCTCTTGCAAGTCAAAGGCTGTTTGACTTACTATTACCAGCTGTTTCAAAAGTGCTCTAAATAGGTCACCATTCCGGTGTACCAACGCTGCAAACCGGATCTAAGATCCAAATTTGTCGCCGCTCACTCACATTTTCTTTTCAACTCCAAGGTAGTACTCACAATAGGGCGTGTTTACATAGGCATTCCATTAAAATTCTCCAGGCATTCGTTCTATTGACACCCGTTTCTTCCAAAAAAGTCTATCTGTAATTAAAATCAGCTCCTCCGCAGGGCATCTCGTTTACACTACACCGAAACGAAACCCCACTAGGAGATCACGCAGACCGTGGGGCCGAGGGCCCGCCCGTGGCTAGGTTTTTACTCGCGTCTCCACGCCCCGGGTCCCCTCTGGTTGTAGTCGCGGGACAGGATTGAGCAAAACCTCCCGTAAAGCTGGCGTGTGTCCCTGGAAGCCTCGCCGACGTCCAATGCTTAAATGTTCTGACACCCCCCAAACGTAGTTGTTTTTAAGGACCAACGCGTTGGCAGGCAGAGGCTGTCCCGCATCTCGTCCCCCTAAATGACACAGTAGATTCCTGCGCAGGGCGCACGACGCCGGGGCCGAAGGGAGCACTGTCCACCTCCCCGATCAGCTCCGCAGGGCAGGGCGAGCCCGAGGGCCCAGCAGGAGGCGGGCGGCAGCCCCGGGCGAGCTCAGCAGCGGCGGGAACGCAGTCGCCGCGCATGCCGGGAGCCGCCCGCCGGGGCGCGCAGTCCCGCAGGCCTAGCTCCGGGTCGTCCGAAAAAGGGCCCCTTGCTGCTCCTTTGCAGGCTCGCGAGGAGCCGCGCTCGGACCGCCGGATGGGAAGGGAAAAGGCCCGTGAGGCCCGGCGGAGCGAGCCGGGAGGAGCTGCAACTCCCTGCGGGAGGGACGGCAAGAAGGACCGAGCCACCTTCCCTGCCGGGTCCCATTCAGGCGTGGGGCGCAGAGGCGGGCTCCCCGGGCTTCCCCTTTAAGGGAGGCGGGGCGCGGCCTGCCGTTTGGCCGCCCCCTCGCGCCCTCCCCTCCAGCCCTGAGCCGGCAGACCAATCGCCCGGGCGGCGGAGCGAAGGCGGGAGAATGCGAACCCTTCGGTAGGCGGTAGGGGCGGGCCCCCGCCTTATTTGGAGCGAGCCGTGCGCAGGCGCAGAGGCGGCCGCGGGCGGAGGGGCGGGGGCAGGCCAGCGGGAGGCTCCCCGTCAGGCACGGAGGGTGCCTGGGGACAGGCGGGCGGCGACGGGCTTGTCATGGGGATCCGGGCTGCGAGACGGCACTGGTAGCATTTGGGGACTCCGAGAGGGACAGGAAGTGTCAGCGCCCGGGACTCCGGCGCCGGCCCCGCCGAGGGGATCCCGGCTGCTCCGATCCCGGAGTTTCGCCCCGCCCCTGGGCTGGTGCCGCGGGGGCGGGGAGTGAGGGCTGCTTTGGGGGGGAGTGGAGGTCGGGGAGCGCGGCCGTGCCCTCTCGAGCAGCGGCGGGGTCCCCGCGGCGCCGGGCTGCGGAGCGAAGGGCCCGCGGCGGCCGCGGCCGGTGCATGTACGGCTGCTGGATGCGGAGGCGGCGGCGCTGAGCGGCAGGATGTTAGGGCAGCAGCAGCAACTGTACTCGTCGGCCGCCCTCCTGACCGCGGAGCGGAGCCGGCTGCTCACCTGCTACGTGCAGGACTACCTTGAGTGCGTGGAGTCGCTGCCCCACGACATGCAGAGGAACGTGTCTGTGCTGCGAGAGCTGGACAACAAATATCAAGGTAGGGGCCGCGGAGCTGCCGGCCTCGGAGCTGGTGGCGGGGAGCCTGCCCGGGGGAGTGCCACCTCCCTTTCTCCCGTGACAGTCTCCCCGAGCGCACCGAGGGTCTGCTGAGCGGGACGGGGAGGACTGGAGACCGGGTTCGGGCCCTCCCCTGCCCCGCGGTGGGCGAGGGCTTTTCTGGGGTCCCCGGATTGGGGGTGGGGGTCGCTCGTCAGCCCCCGCTGCAGACCCAGCGGCTGCAGCTGCCGCGGAGGGGAATCAGCCATTTTAAGCAGCAAGCATTTGTTCTGGCGCTCGCCCGCCCCGTGCCGCAGACCGCGCCGCCCCGGCCCCGGACTGTGCAGCCGGGCAGGGGCCGGAGGGAGTGAGCGGCCGGGCTCCCGCTGGTCTGCCGGGAGCGCTTCCCCACCCGACTCGCCCCCACCCCGGAGCGCGGGTGCATTGGAACGTGCGGGGGGAGGGGGCGAGAGGCCGCGGAGGCGGACTGAGGGGCCTCCCTCGGCGCCCCAGCCCCGGCCCGGAGGAGCGCAGTCCGTTCCGCTCTCCCGCCTCGGGAAAGTTCCCGGTCGCCTAGCGCCGCAGCCCTGGCCCAGCTCCTTCGGCCAATGGTTAAGAGGGGAGGGGAGGGGAGGGGAGGGGTCCCCCGCCGGGGAGGAAGAGAGGGGCGTGTGTGGCGGGGAGGGCCCGCGCCGGGGGCGGGGCCTGCGGGCGTGACGTGGGGCGTGGGAGGGGCGCGGCGCGGGTTCTCGCGGGCCTGGCACAGGGCTGGAGGCGAGAAGGGCAGTGGCGTGCCGGCTGCTGAGGAGGGAATCGGGGCAGTGCGGGGTGTTGGTTCGGCCCTAGCAGAGTCCGAGTCGGGGTTTGCAGCATGTTTGCGGCGATGTTTCCCGTCTCTCCCAACCAGTGAGTCAGGACGGGGATCATCAACTCGGACGGTCGCGGATCCTGGCTCCGCGTAAGTTCCGGGACATGTGTCACTTCCGGGCCTGTGGAGGATGTGGGTTGGTTGACTGGGCAACCGCCTGGCGTCCCCGAGCCCCCGAGCCCCTCCTACTCCGACTTCAGTGATGAGGCCAAACCACCCTTTGCGGGCCGACCCGGGAAGCCGGGACAGAGTCGACCTTTCTTATAGTGTTACCATCTACTATCGGTTGTGTCACTAGAAGGGCAGTTTAAAAGGGGAAATGTGTTGCGTTTAATAACCCTGAGTCGAGGAACAGACCTTGAACATAATAGGGAAACAGCCATATGGACTTTTAAGATAACTTCCTAAACCCATTCTCTATTTTTGTAGACACGTCAGTGATCCTATAGTTTAAAAGTCTCTAAGGAATCAGCTTCTTGGGTGACATTTTCTGACCTGTAGCATGTTAGAAATTTAAGTGTCTCTGATTTTTTTAGTTTATAAATTTGTCTCTGTTTTCTGAATCCATAGGATTCGTAAGGACCGAATCCTGTGTTGCGGGGGGCGGGGAAGGGAATTAATACTGATACGCCAGGTACAGACCATTATTGAAGTATTTCTTTTACGGATAAAATTTACAGAGAGTTTAAGTAACTCGTCCAGTTAATTAGATGTAGACTATATGGCTCCAAAGCCTGCTACTTTAGATGCACATCCTTGTTTTCAAACAATTTAAATTTAAAAAAATAAGAACTGCCCAAGGGGATTTCTAGAGGTATGGCGTACATACATGAATGGTAACCTAAACGTGATATATGCTTAATAATTGTATATTGAACCTTTCTAGTTTTTCAAATAACTCTTAAGTTTGTAAAGCTGGCAGGTTTTTGCATTGTTTGAAGGCACATGTTTCCTTTCACGAGAGTTAAGCTATTTGAAGTTGGTGAGGGATGCTAAAATTTGTTGACAGGGAAATCTGCTTCTGGATCATCTGTAATTGTCCTGTATTAATAGCTCTGGTAACAATAATAGAGTATGCCTAACAAGATCGAGACATTATAAAAATTCTTAGCTCTATGAAGATTGTGATTAATTTAATGATTAATAATAAAAACCCATCCAGTTTTGACTCTTCATGTGGTTACAGAGCTCAACTTTCACAGTGTTATGTTTATATGTATTTTGTGTTCTGGGTTCAGATTTCTTTTTTTTTTTTTTTTTCCCTCCACTGGCTAATAAGTATTTTTTTGGTTTTGGATCTAATATTTCTAGCAATATTTAGTGATATAAATTATATAGGCAGTCAAAGAAATTTCTCTCCCATCTACTTGAGATACTTTAAGAACTGCTGAAAAACCTCTAAAGAAGATAAATGAAGAAAACAATTTAACAATTGAAGTACTTATGAGATAGGGTTATTAGAGAACCTTTTTGTTCTAGAACAAAAAGAACAAAAAGAAATTATCTAGTTTCTTAGATAAATAACCTTCAAACTAAAATTTGATACTTAATTTCAAGTGCTTTTCATATAATTGATAGAAAAGTGCTTACACTGCAGGGTCAGACGTATAGATCTGGCACGATTCAAAGTCTAGGGTTCTTATCTCTTCAGTTGTAGTTTTTTCACATGCAGAAGTGATGACTTCCTGGTGGAGTTGCTGTGGGGATTAACTGAGAAAGTCTTTACCGCATAGAAAGCGCTGAGTAAATGTTAATTGCTTGTCTTATTTCACTATACGATAAGGTGTCTTAAAATTTTTTTTTATCTCATGTATAGTATTAGTGTACTGGTATGATGTATACTATAATTAGCCTCTAACATCCGATTATTAGGTGCAGAATATTTGAAATGAGGTTTACCTCTTCATTTTTAATCCTCAGTTTTTTATGTGTCTGAGTGAACCAGTTTCCTTATTTTTCTTCTAGGGAACTTAGGTTCTTAAGAAATCTGCTTAGATGTCTAGCTAAGCAAATGGAATAGTTATGAACTTTGTTGAAAAATATGCTATGCAGGTATAAGTACTCTCAACCGTGTGGTGGCACTTTTTTAGGTATTCCAGGTTAGACAGTTGTACCTCAGGTATGAGTACTTTAATTAATGAGTTGTGTTTGATATTTGCTTTGTGCGCCGTACTTGCGGACAGCCCCAATGTATATATTTACTCCTCTAACATTTCTATTTTTAGTAATTATAATACTGGAATATAAAACTGGTATGCCATGTGGTATGAAAAATACCAAGCAGACAGAACTCTTTCAGATAGCATTACATCTTGTAAGAATAAGAAATTAAACAGATTTGAACAAAACTAATCTTAAGTAAATTTTTGGTGACATCTGAAATTATATTTTCAGATTTTTGGATACCTTCTAGTGACTCAGCTATTTTTATTTGATTTAAGTAAGTGTGTTCCATGTGCCATGCGACTAAATCAGCAGTTCAGAAAGCATAGAATCAACTACGATTTATCTACAAAGGCAGAATGATCCAGTGCTGAGTTTACTGTAATTTTGTTAGTGGTTCGGTCAGTTGATGTCAGAACCAGAACCTACTCTGGAAATAGTTTCATTTTCTGAATTTCCCATATGAGGCTAAAATAGAGCCATTAAAACTAAGATGATGGGAAGCTAAGAGTTGCTTATGCCTGCTTTGTTAAGACTTTGATGTGGAAGTGAAGCTAATAGTAATCTCTGGAGTCATGTCACAAGTCATTGATTGGACTGTAAATCCTGTAAACATAGTTGGGCAGTAATCTGTAGCCTAGTCCTATAACCTTTTCAAGTTTTAGAGCTGGACTCCAGCCTGCAAATTTTATATATAGGGTTGTCTTGAAGGTGTTACAGCGCTAAGTAGACTCAAGTGGCATACAGTGTTCCTGCCCATGAGAAATACTTTCGATCATTAATTAGTCATGCATCTCTTATCCTTTTTAATATAGATTAATGAAGTATAGATTAATAAAGTATACTTTATTTCTAAGTATACTTTCATATTAGATAATATGGTCTTTGTATGGGAAGTAGTTTTTATTGTATACATACCAAAGAGGAGTGTGGTTTCATGGTTTGAGTTCTAACTTCAATTCTGTAAAAAATAACTAACTTGTAAATGTTACGTATGCTAACCCATGATAACATTCTCATTTTTCTTTTCCTTCTTTAGAAACGTTAAAGGAAATTGATGATGTCTATGAAAAATATAAGAAAGAAGATGATTTGAACCAGAAAAAACGTCTACAGCAGCTTCTCCAGAGAGCACTCATTAATAGTCAAGAATTGGGAGATGAAAAAATCCAGATTGTTACACAAATGCTCGAATTGGTGGAAAATCGGGCAAGACAAATGGAGTTACATTCACA